CGCATCAAAAGTGCACCGGAATGCACCAAAAGCGCACTGGAACGCACATTTCCCTATTTAAATTGAATAAGAGAGGGGAAAAAATGAACTAGAATGCATAAAAAAAATGCACCAGAACGCATAAAAAATGTGCATGAAAAAATGCATCAGGACTGTGTTTCTATAGTGTGAACTGGCCCTAAAACAAGTCAATATGATAAACCTTCCTATCCATTTACAAATGCTAGCAGCAGAAGGATTAAAAATAGTCAATGTTGATTGAGAGAGTAAAGTTCCGCTTTAAGCATCTCCCACTGGAAAAGCAGCACATTCATGGATATTTATCAAGCATTCTTGAAGTGTTTTCAGTGCTTCATAAACACAACATAAACACATCATAAATGCCATAGGTGTGTTAATGAGCACTGCTTCATTCTTCATAATCAACACACGTGTGAGTAAGCACCAACTGTGCAAAAGATGACAATACTGCTGTTTGATCCTGACTTCTCTGCTCCCCCTCTTGTTCAAATGTCCACGTCTTGTCTCCGGACTGAACCCATAGCCATTCTGCACATGCTCAGTGTAGTGTGTATTGCTAGAGAGGGGTTCTTTCTTCTTCTTGGGAGAGTGCATGTAATCAGCACAGGGCCAATCAGCACTATCCAGACAGAGGGTCAGGGGTTTTGCATCTTCGTAGAGCAAAAAGAAAATTCATCCTACAAGCTTTAATCAGTGCTCTGCTGGACACTGATAGAAGTCACAAGACTGCTGTAACTGCTGATGAGAAAAGGTATTTATCAGTTTATATTTACTAAAATAATTGCACTTCCATGTTGTGTGTACTGTGGGAGACTGGATAAAGTGAATGCAGGGTCCGGGGTTTAGTAACACTTTAAGTTAACAACACCCCAAATGTGATTTGCAAAACACAATGCGATTGGCTGAATTGAATCGTATGGGTGTGAACACCCATGCAATCACATTTCAAGTGATACTAAAGGCTTATTTTTTTTTAAAGAAAAATAACAAAAAAAGTCATACTTATCTGTTGTGTGGAGTGGTTTTGCACTCTTTTCGGGTCCCCTGCTGGCGCTCCTGGCCCTTCCCTCCTGTCGGGTGCCCCCACAGCAAGCAGCTTGCTATGGGGGAACCTGCTGTTCTGTGTGTCCAGTCACACACGGAGCCGTGGCTCGGCCCCTGCTCCCTCTCTCTTCCCATTGGCTCACTGGATGTGATTGACAGCAGTAGGAGCCAATGGATTCCTCTTCTGTCTCAGCCAATGAGAAGAGGGAGTTCCGGGATAGCCAAGACTCAAGTGCACATCGCTGGATCGAGAGGGGGCTTAGCTGTGTATTAGGGGGGTGCTGTGGGGAATGCTGCACACAAAAGGTTTTTTACCTTCATACATAGAATGCATGAAGGTAAAAAACCTTGAGTCTTTAGAACCATTTTCAATGCAGAGAAGAAAAAAAAAAAAAAGAAGGTGGCTGCGCCTTTCATGTGGGTGTGGTGCGAATTGAGCCATACAAAATAAATGGTACAGGAATGTGGTGCATTTTACTGCCAGAATCACAGAGCAGTAGTGTTAACAGGACTAAATGATCATTCCCACTAGCCCACATGCCAAAGCATTCTGGTGGATTTTGCAATGCTACTGCCTCAAATCTCTACCTCGTCCAATCAGAGAATGCTTTTCATTCAATGAGATCATTGAATGAAAAGCATTTTTCATTCCAAATCATTTTTCATTCCAACCAACTGAATGGCACCTGTGCTGAGCAATCAACCTCCTGTGTTCAGTTAGCAGCATGGCAATTGCTCAGCACAGGACCCGGATGTTAGTGGCGATCACTGCAGTATTGGTGTCTACTACAGTGATTTCCAGCTTCCACAAGGATCCCACAGGTATGGAGCGAACATACCTACAGTAATCCAATATAACTAAACAAAAATTGCTGTATCTGGAATTTAGTTTTAAAGCGGTATTAAACTCAATGGCAAACATTTATTATTTTGCAGCTTAACAATTCTTGGATGGTGACTGCCTTAGTTTTCTTTTTTAGGCTTTCATCTATTTTCACCTAGTGATCCTGCCAGTAAGTCTCTGTTGTTTTTCCAACATAACAAGCTGTCCTGCAAATGTAGCAGTTAGAGGGTTGAGACTAGTCATTTTATATATAGCGCTACATAAATCCTGTATAATAATTTGCCACTGGCAGGGGTGCTTACAACTAGTGGTGCACCGAAATGAAAATTCTGGTGCCGAAACTTCAGAATGCACTTGGCCGAAAACCGAAATGGACAGGTTTTAAAAATTAATATATTTTCAAATGCTATTTTTTTAGGAAAAAAAATACACTTTAATGATTAACAATATGAAAGATGATGTTACGTCAAGTAAATAGATACCCAACATGTCATGCTTTAAAATTGGACATGCTCATGGAATGGCACCAAACCACGGGTTTCAAAATCTCCATGGGTGAAGCTTTAAAGTTTTTCACAGGTTACGAGTTTAAAACTACAGAGGTGCTAAAATTATTGCTCTTACTCGGATGTTCAGGGCAATACCTCATGTGTGGTTTGAACACTGGTTGCATATGTGGGTGTGGCCTACGTATGCGTTGCGTTCACCACTATGCACAAGCACGGGGGGGGGGGGGGAACTTTAAGCTTTTATTTATTTTATTACATTTTTTTTTTTTTTTTTTTTTACACTGTCCCTTTCATTTTTTTTTTTTTTTTTAATCACTTGTATTCCTATCAGAAGGAATGCAAACATCCCTTGTGATAGAAATAAGCGGTGACAAGTCCTCTTTATGGAGCGATATGAAGTCAATAAGACCCCACATCTCTCCTCTACAATGTAAAGCATTAGATCAAGAAAAAGGATTGATCTAGTGCTCTTAAAAAAAAAAAAAAAAGGATTGAAGTGCTCTTTAAAAAAAAAAAAAAAAAAAAAAATGGCCTTGAACTTGAAGTAACGTAATGAAGTTGCTCCAGTCCTCCAAGGGCATAGAGATGAGGCCATCTTTCCTTCACTGATTTCTATGCCCAACGCCGTGATTGTTGATTGGGTGTTCAGGCGGCAGGAGGCGGAGATATTTTCGGCACCTGTACCTGCTTATTTTCATATAGGGGTGTTTTCGGCTAAATGTTTTGGACACCGAAATTTCAATGCATCCCTACTTACAACCATCAGCATTTATATATTCATGTTAAACCTTTTTCCCCAAAAAAAAAAAAAAAAAAAAATGGCAAGCAGTGTAGCAGAACTTTTTTTTGGTACACTTTGTAGCGTTTCTACTTGTCATGTGACAAACACCCCAAAGAAGCTGCTTTTTTTTTTTTTTTTCGGAGCAGAGCATGGGACCTTTTTTTTCATTGTGCATTTTGGCACGTTTATTATAGGTACTTATATAGCGCCATCAATTTATATAGCGCTTTACATATATATTTTACATTCACGTCAGTCCCTAACCCTGAGTTCACATATATGCAGTGCGGTACATCGCATGTGATCCATACCGCATTCCTGTGCAAATCACATGCGATTTGTGTGCGGTGCGATTAGAGCCATACATTTTGTATGGTTCTAATCGCACCGCACCAAAAACGTGGAAGACCCTTTTTTTTTTGCTCGCACTAGAATCGGATCGCATGGGTATTCACACCTATGCAATCCGATTCTGCACATCACATTGCGTTTTGCATACCGATTTTGGAGTGTTAACATACACACCTGCAGCGGATCGCATGAACGGAGTGCGATTCTGATGCGGTGCGGAATTCGCACAGAAATTTCTGCAAATTCCACTATGCATCAGTGTGAACCAGGGCTCAAGGGGCTTACAACCTAAGGTCCCTAACTCACATTCATACATACACATACTAGGGACAATTTAGACAGGATTCAATTAACCTACCAGCATGTCTATGGAGTGTGGGAGGAAACCGGAGTACACGGAGGAAACCCACTCAAACAGAGAACATGCAGCCTCCAGGCAGGTGGTGCTGTGGTTGGAATTTGAACCAACAACCCTAGTACTGCCAGGCGTAAGTGCTAACCACTTAGCCACTGTGCTGCCACATTTATAGCGCCTTTGCAGCGCTTGAGGTGATATTATCAATGGCGCTGCGAGTGTGATGCAGATTTGCAGTGCATTTCGGAAATGTGCAGCAAATTGCAGGTTTTCTGTGCACTTTGTTGTGCGTTCTGGAAATGCCAAGTGTGAATGGAGCCTGCCTGCCAAGAAAATGTTAGCTGGAGTTCATGGGGAAAGAAAATACATGATTACAGGCAACCGCTTCTCTTTTCTCCAGCATCCTTCATGTTAGATTCATGCAGATTGGATGCAGAAACACACGCAAAACTGCATTTAAAAAAAGCGCATCCCTTTGCATGCACACAGCAGGGCCATGTTGCTCCAACACACCTCGCTAACATGTGTGTGAAACGGTCTCCTAGATTGTAAGCTCCAAGGAGCAGGGCCCTCGAACCCCTCGTGTATTATTGTATTGTCTCCCATTATAATGTACAGTGCTGAACGAACGGGTGGTGCTATTTAAATCCTGTATAATAACTGCATGCCAAAATAAACAACAAAGCTGCGTGTGAACAGCAGGGCTACTGTTAGTACAAAGGCTGAGCAGCCGCTGCGAATCGCATGCCCCGCACATCCCAGCCACAACGATCCTCCAATTCCTGCCGCGGGAATTCGGTGGTCGCAGCCGTGTGAGCGTTTTCTCAGGTGCGTTAGACAGCAATATATCAGGTCTGCGTTTGTACGCAGCACAAGTCATCACCCCGCCCCTATACAACGTACACCATCACATATACCGATTGTGTGAATGAGCCCCACAGCCCTGCTGGAGGAAAGTCTTGTTTCTGAATGGAAGAGGCAAGATCCAGGCTGTGTGTCCTTGGATCACTCCACTGATTATCTGCAGGAGAACAGCCATCACACACAATGAGATCAAGAGGACAGGCAGATGTGTAAATAAAGAGGAAATCTTACGTCTCATCCAGATCCTCTACAAAAGCAGAAGTGGGGGCCAGCAGGTACAAGGAGACTGCAAGAGAAGACAAGGAGGTCAGTGACAGTTCAGGTCTGATGAGCACACACAGCACGATCAGCACTGCCATGGATGGACACACACACACCCCCCCTACCATCACCGATCACCGATGGACGCGGCCTGTCATCCTTACCTGTTGCTAAGAAGCAGAGGCCGGCAGCTGCCATGTTCGAAGGATGTGATACCGGAAGGAAACAGAGAAGGGAGGAGGCCACTCCCTGTAATGTGGAGGGGGGCGGGGCTGTGTGCTCCTGTCATTGTATGGTCCAGTCCATGAGCAGGAGATGTGTACACTGTATGGGAGGCACACATACACATCCCATATTATTAGACAGGATGTATATAGTGACAACAGTGTGCTCCGGTCTTTACAATATAAGGGGGACAATACAATCACAATACATATCAGTACAGAAGGAATAGAAGGGCCTTGCTCATGGAGCTTACAATCGAATCCATTGCATGTCCCTGATCTTCATGTCCTCAATGTATTGGATACATAAGGGTAAGAGGGCTCATTCGCACCTAAATGCAGCACTTCCGAAATCAATGGAACCGTACGCACAGCAGCGGCGTCCGCAAACGTGCCCCGTGTTTAGCGACATACCAGAGTAAAGCTGGTCATACATGACTCTAGATTCACACCTAAGCTCTTTCCGCAGCGTTTTGCAGACACGCACTACAGTCCATTTAACATGATTTCCTGTGGGACACATTCACATCTTGTTTTCACCCAGTTCGTTTTTTGGAAAGGGTCAGTCTGGGTTTACACTTGTGTGGTGCAGCATATCGCATGTTGCACCGCATTCCTGTGCAAATCCCATGCCAATTTTGTGGGGTGCGATTTGAGCCATACATTTTGTATGGCTCAAATCGCACCGCATCTACACCAAAATGGTGCAGGACGCTTTTTTTGGTCCGCACTAGAATCGGATCGCAGGGGTGTGAACACCCCTGCGATCTGATTCTGCACATCGCACCGCTTTTCACGGACCGATTTCAGGGTGTTGTTAACATACACACCCGCAGCGGTTCGCATGAATAGAGTGCAATTGTGATGAAACCACTGCAAATTCCACACCGCATCAGTGTGAACTCAGGCTTATGGACCAAAAAGTTGCGTTTTTGGTTCTATAGACTTCAATGGAAACGCTGCAGAAAAGAATGTAGTTTGTTTTTTGTATTTTTGCCGCATTTTAAATGCGTTTTGCATTTTCAATCTGCCTAGCAACAAAAAAAAGGAAAACAATTCAAAACGTGGCAAAAACGCAACGCAAAACGCAATGCAGAAATGGTCTCAAACGCAAACTGCATAGGTGTGAACTAGCCTTATTTTCCTTACACATTTCTGTCCATTTCCTTTAGATTTCCCTTCAACTACAATATCTCCCAGTGAAGTGAGTACATTCCCTCACATTCTGTAAATATTTTATTCTATCTTTTCATGTGACAACACTGAAGAAATGACACGTTGCTACAATATAAAGTAGTGAGTGTACAGCTTGTATAACAGTGTAAGTTTGCTGTCCCCTCAAAAGAACTCAACACTCAGCCAGGGGCGGACTGACCATTTGTTGCTCTGGGGCCCCATGAGTTGTCAGTCCGCCCCTGCACACAGCCATTAATGTCTAAACCACTGGCAACAAAAGTGAGTACACCCCTAAGTGAAAATGTCCAAACTGGGCCCAATTAGCCATTTTCCCTCCCCGATGTCATGTGACTCGTTAGTGTTACAAGGTCTCAGGTGTGAATGGGGAGCAGGTTTGTTAAATTTGGTTTTTGGTAAATCTAATGCAGGCAATAGACGGTTTGAAAGAATAATCGCGGTTCCCCCTCATTTCTTTTACCGGTCATGCTGGAAAATTTACGAAAAACAGCCGATCTTCGTAATCATTGGTGGCAACAGAACGACCGATTTTTTTGCTTTTTGGCTGAAAATTCATCCGATAAACGAACCGTCTATGGCTTGCATAAGACTGGGTTCACACTGATGCGGTGCGGAATTCACATCGGTTTCTGTGCGATTTCCGCACCGCATCACAATCGTACCCTGTTCATACGAACCACTGTGGGAGTGAACTGTAAGTTAATGACATCCCAAAATCAGTTTGCAAAATGCGGTGCGATGTGCAGAATCAGATTGTATGGGCGTGAACACCCATGCGATCATTCTGGTGCGGACTAAAAAAGGGTCCTGAACTTTTTTATTGCGATGCAGTGCGATTTGAGCCGTACAAAATGGCTCAAATTGCACTGCACAGAAATTGCCTGTGATTTGCACAGGAATATGGTGCAGTTCCTGTGTGAATCACATGTGATGTGCTGAATCACATCAGTGTGAACCCAGGCTAAGTCTAGGTTCACACCTATGCGTTTTCTGTTGCGTTTTGCAGAAACGCACAGCAGTCCATTTAGCATGATTTCCTATAGGACAGGTTCACATCTCCGCGTTTTCTCCTGGTGCGTTTTTTGGAAAGGGTCAGGGACTTTTTAAATGCAAAATGTTGCGTTTTTGGTTTGATGGACTTCAATGGAGATGCTGCATAAATGCATGTAGTGCGTTCTTGACATGTTTATGATGCGTTTTGTGTTTTAATCTGCCCAGGAACAAGTTGGAAAAAACGCAAAACGCACAAAAAAAATGCATGTGTAAAAACACAAAAAGCGCTGCAGAAACGAATCAAACGCAAACTACATAGGTGTGAACCTAGCCTAAGACATTTTTTACGTATTTGTGACGCGTTTTATTCAGCTCTTTTTTTATTTTTTAAAGTGGAATTTTTTTTTTTACTGGGCTGAATAAAAATGCAAAACGTAAAATGTGGCAAAAATACACTACCATGCATTTCAGCAGATTCTTCATTGAACTCTATTGTAGCAAAAATGCTGCTTTTTGCTTTTAACCACTTGAGCTCCAGAGGATTTACCCCCCTTAATGACCAGGCCTCTTTTTGCTACTCGGCGCTGCACTAATTCAACTGATAATTGCGCGGTCATGCAATGCTGCACCCAAACAAAATTTACGTCCTTTTTTTCACACAAATAGAGCTTTCTTTCGGTGGTATTTGATCATCTGTGCACTTTTTATTTTTCACGCTATAAACAAAAAAAGGCCAAAAATTTTGAAGAAAAACAATATTTTTTACTTTCAGCTATAAAAAATATATAGTAAACTCAAAGCTGGTTATAAATTTAGGCCAAAATGTATTCTGCTCCATGTTTTTGGTAAAAAAAATACCAATGAGTGTATATTGATTGCTTTGTGTGGAAGTTATAGTGTCTACAAACTATGGTATAAATACTGCAATTTACGCCATTTTTCTGCTATACAGCGCTGCGCTAGTTTAACGGACAATTGCATGGTCATGCAATACGGTACATAAATGAAATTAACATCTTTTTTTTTTCCCCCACAAATTGAGCTTTCTTTTGGTGGTATTTGCCTGTGCGGTTTTTATTTTTTGCGCTATAAAAAAAAAGGCTGACAATTTTAAGGAAAAAAAAACAATATTTTGGACTTTTTGCTATAAAACATGTCCAGTAAAAAAAAAATGCAAAAATCAAATTTAGTCATAAATTTCTGCCAAAATGCATTCTGCGACATGTCTTTGCTAAAAAAAAAAAAACCCAATACGTGTAAATTGGTTTACGTGAAAGTTATAGCGTTTACAAATGGTGGGAAAGATACCGGGATTTTTAGTTTTTTTTTATACTAATAATGGCGGCGATCAGAGAATTATGGCGGCGATCAGTGACTTATGGCAGCGACCAGCGACTTATGGCGGGACTGCGGCGGACATTCTGACATTGGGGGGTACTGACTTGGGGTCACTGACATCCCCAAAAACACTAATAGAGTGATCAGTGCAAAAAAAAAAAAAAAACACTGACACTACTAATGGCACTGGGGAGGAAGGGGTTAACTTTATTTTGCAGGGAAGGGTTATCTGTGTGAGGGGGAGTGTTTTACTAGGGGGCGGGGGTGTGTGCTGCACGGGACACCGCTGATCGAGAGAGAGAAACTCTTCTTTCTCGATCAGCTCGTCCTTGAGCTGTCAGGGAAGTGACAGACAGCACAGCTACTGTCAGTAAGGACCGGCTGTGACCCGGCGACTGACATCCGCGGCGATGATCGGCGGGACAGATAAGGCGGCGGCGCGCCTCGTGCGCGCCCCCTATCTGTTTACAAAACACATGTTTTAAAACGTGGTTTTGCCTGCCCGTGCCGCCCTGCCACCGTATTTCTACAGTGGCAGGCCGGCAAGTGGTTAAAAAAGTTCCTGACCCTATCCAAAAACGCAGCAGATCAAAAAAGCATAGATGTGAACATGTTCCATAAGAAACCATGTTAAATGGACTGTAGTGCGTTTCTGCAAAAAGCACAAAAAAAAAAACCGCATTGGTGTGAACGGAGCCTTAAGGAAAATTGTAGAAGAAAATTGTATACTGTATGGCCAGCCTAAGGACCGTTTCACACCTAATGCAGTGGGATGCAATTGGCTGCATTTTGGATTGTACAGACAGTCCAAAATCCAGGCTATCCTATGGGCAGAGTTCACACCATTGCAGTGCAGAAAAGTACAGTTTGCTGCATTTTTCCGCACCTCAAACGAGCAAAACCGCACTGCAACGCATCACTGTGCACATAAGGCCCAAGGAAAGAAAGAAGAAGGAAGTGACCTCACAAGACAAATGCAGATAGAAAAGTGCACGTCAACTGTGTGTAAATGCGCATCAGCTGCATGTAAAATGTACATCAAATGCATGCATAGGTTCAAGATTTTAGGTTTCGTTTACTCAACCATAAAATTGTTACTGATGTTATTGAACGTGTTTTCTAGGAGAAAAGTTCCTGCCTAATGATCAGTAAAATACTGGCGTATAAATGTGATTAACCAGTTGCCAACCATGCTGTAGTCGAATGATGGCTACAACGCGGTTGGCTAGTTCTGGGATGGCGTCTGTTGACGTTTTCCTAGAACCCCACCCCCTTCGAACACAACTGATCACAGGGCGAGGTAAAGGACCAATCACAGCAGCCCTTTACTAGGTAATCAGCAGTGTCCAATCACAGCTGATCACAGTGTAAACAGACTTTCTGCTTATTGGCAGTCTTTTGCTCATGCGTTGTCACAGTGTGAGGAAAGGTGAGCCAGTAACCAGCAAT